ATATATATATATATATATGTATTCCAATTCATTCCATTTTAAATAGTTAAAGCGAAAAAATTCTTGCCTACACTTTTTCACATTGTCGGAAGAAAGCAAACTAATATGATCTCACTTAGTTTTATTGACTCATTATATAAAAATTTTATGCTCAAAAGTTATATTACGTTCAGTATTAGATGTGGAGTGTGCAGTTCTATAATAAATTTTATATCACCTAATCTCTCACGGTGTTCGTAAATAAATTTTAATTACCGAACGCTTTTGTTATGCAAAGTTTTCTCAGTGCTTCGGCATCTCAAACTTATGAATTATTTATTTTACAGATTATCTCTCGTCATTTTAATTTCTCCTGTTTATTTTTTCTGTTTCCTTCAAAATACTTGCCTCTTTCTTTCTTTTACATAACATCTATCAGTAAAAGTTGCTCAGTTTTGAAATATAACTGCGATTGATGAAGTCTTCGCATCATCACGCATTGCGCAGTATGTTTGAGTTGTAATTTCCAGATATTCAAGTTGCTGAAAGCTCTTCAATAATTTTTATGGAAAAAAAGGTTATAAATTAGTACGGGGAGTGATGCTTTAATTTGATTCTGTTCTAATATTAAATACTTTCAAGCTTAAGAATACATTCCTGCACACTTACACTTGCATTCCTCTTATTTGAATTCTACAGTTAATTTTGTTCAGTAAGTGAATAAAGTAAGTAAATGAGTAGTCAGTATTTGCTATCACTTTTTTGTGCAGCCATATTCAAAAAAGCGATCAGTATGCATATTCAAGCATGACATTTGCATTGCTTCTAGTAAAATTTATTTCTAGAAATTGGCCGGAATGGTCTTTAGAATTTAGATTTTTGGGTGCGCTTATTTGTGAAAAGAAGATAAAGCACTTTAATGCCATATTTATTGCCAGTTCTCAATGAAATAAATTATAGTAGTTTTTTCAATGAGTAATGTTATAATTCAGTAACTGGTTCACTTAATCTTAAGTAATGCGACTCTAAAATTCGTTTAAAGAAGAAATTAAGCTATCTTAAAATTCTTAATTTACTGAAGTAAGCATTCATGGGTTGCTGAAAATACATGCAATAAAATTATTACTGATAGTGCCATTTACAAGAAAGTATTTTGATATGAAACGCAAGCATTTAACGTGGGAATAAAATGGATATATTATTTACGTACAATTGGGAATCAGTGAGGATAATTTGTAAAATAATGGAGAAGTGTAGGGTGCAGAGCAGGGAATGATATTGGACGTAAGTTTGTTAATATGGAGGCAACGTGAATCACGCGTGCTTTAAATGTTTCTGTTTGCGAATGTAAGCGTGATTTAAAAATATTGCTTGTTGAATAAATGCTTGCAGAGGAGGATTAAAATGGCGAGGAATGGATAGAGAAGAAAGCATTCGTTTTATAGCACAAATCCAGAAGGACAAATCAATCTGCTAGCTAAAACTATCAGTCTATCTTCCTATCTGTCTCTATATGGGGCTAGCTTGACCAAACTGAGCTAGAGCTTGCTAGCCTAGTCGCTTAGTCTCGAGAATATCTTGAAGGATATTCAGGGATATCCTTCGGTGGCCTTTCAATCTCGCCACCGTTCAATGCTCTACCTCACACGTTTACTTCTTATCAGTATTTCTCTCAATACCCTCATCAAGTCTAGGTAACTGTTCTTACTATTTATTATTATCAGTTACTACAGTTGTAATCATGATTATTACATCTATCATCAATTACCAACTAATTCTCAATTTATTATTTTAGTTTATTTATCCCACTTTGTTAATTTAATTCTTATTTCTCTTTTAATGAAGTAGGTTGAATTAGTGTTTGCTGAATTTGCGATTCTTGAGGAGTTTTTCTCAATTTTAAAGGAACTTTCAAGCAAGTATTATTTTTAAAATAACTTAATTATTAATGTAGTGAGGAATTTAATATATTGCTTGTTAAGGAATTATTTGCTTTTTTCGAACATAGGCGAGCGATACATCCATTTTGCATAATTAAACATTAGCTATATCTTGAAATGAAAGTAATAACTTTCAACTGTGCAATTCAATAAATGCTTCAATGATTTGTGAATGCTTAAACTGCGATGGTTACATGAATTGGATCAGTTTCATACTGAGATATCAATGATAGATAATTAGTAAACGATTTTATTCATCCAGAAAGTATTTTCAATCAATCTTTTGGAGAAAATATAGCTTAAAATCATCATAAAGCCTTGTCATATGTTTGAGAGCATGTAAATATGTCATAGCTTTTTATTAGTATGTCAAAAAAACTTAAACACTGCCATTATTAACTCTCAATACACATGCAGCTGTGTGCTGGACACAAAGCTGGCTATTTCTAAATTGAGACGGAAAAAGTTCGGATTTAATCATTTTGAAGTGCTAAGCTTGCGAATTTTGTGTTAAGAAGTTTAGTGAGAATTAACGATGAAAAATTAACTGATTAACTGATTAACAGTTACTCACTACGTGAATGAATGGAATTTTGCTGCAAATCTGAAGAATTATGCGTGAATTGTATTTCTAACTTTGATTATTTCGATTGAAAATATTTGAGGCATTGTGATTCAGTTGAATTGAGTCACACAGAAAATTTGTGGAAGTTTTAATTTGAAAAAGTAGTAAAACATAAGTTATCTCATTGTATTACTCTGACGAATACAAATTTTGAAAAATCTTTTGCATGTTCTTGAGATCAAAAATTTGTCGAAGCGAAAGTATGCGTTTAAACAAAAATACTGTTGAGTATCGTTAAAATTAGATATCTTCTTTTGTAAGTGAACGATTTTGTGAACTTATTCAGATTTTAAGATTTTCTTGCTGAACGCAAGTTGACCTAAAGTCAAAATCCAGTGAAATATTATACTGAATATGAGAGAAAGTGAAAAGAACAGTACGAGTCGAAATAATTTTCAGTACAATGCTTTTGTTTGTTTGCACAATTGTCTTCACTAATGAGTACGTACGTAAGCAAGTAAGTAAGCAGTAAGTAAATGGGTAAGAGTTATGATTATTAGTTGGAATTATAAATAGACAAATATGAGTTAGTTAGTGACTTACAGAGTTGATTTTTCCACTTTTATTAAGAGTCCATATTTATCATAAAAAATTGAAGAGAAACGATTGTCTCAGGGGAAGTTGGATACGGTGACGAGAAAGTAGGTAAACAACTTTTTCTTACTGAAATTATACTTTCAAAACTATAACTTATAAAATCTGCGTGTATTCTCAGTGAAAAAGGAATCAAAAGTATTACAAAGTGTTATACGTCATGCGAATTTCAATCAATTTTCGTTTGCATCATTTCATGATAGCTTTAGTTAAATAAGTTACTGCTGAATAGTAGTAACTTATGGTCAAGTAATTAAAGCTGTAAGTTACTGTTGAATAAGTAAATACTCAATAAAATCGTTTGTTCGAGCAATTTTCACTTAGCCGTCTTCACATCGAAGGAACAAAGAAAGCTTCCGCGTAAATAACGTCATGTCCCACTGGAAATTAGTTGAAAAATGCGTAGTTCTGCAAATAAAGCTTACTTAAATGCATTTTCAGCACAAAGCAATTGTGAAGAAACGAAAAAAGTATTAAAACAGAAAGTCTTAAGCACACAGACGTGAGGATGAATACACATTGTGCGGATTACTGAAATGCTTAGTTGTTGTTAGGTACACGAGCAATTTTAATACAATGTCACGTTTTAATTTTATTACCAGCTAAGCTAATATTGGTAGTTCTGTAATTCTTGTTTGTATTCTTAAATATTTGTAATTATAAAAGTTGATGCTCAGTTACTCTTAACGAATAAATTGACTTAGCCTCGCATTTCCACGTGTAAACTTCATTTGATTTGAATTGAGTACATCTGAAATCAAATCACAAACTTTCGAAGATATTTTTTTCTGTAAAATAATGCAGTTGTTATAACATTCAGAAGTGATCATTTTGCCTGCAGTTGTCGTTATTGTGAAGTATTAGAGTTACTGCTAAAAACAAGCAGAAGTAGCAGTACTGCTGAAGTGTTTGACAATATCACAAAAATGACTTCAAGTGCTGCAGAATGTAAGCAAATTGAATTGAAAAAGTTGAATAAAAATTTCGAGAAATATATTTGTCATTTCAGCGCAAAGAAATTGTGCTGTCGAAAATTATTAGATTATGCATTATAGAACTGAAAAGATAGATATAAATTGTGACTCTTTGTGAAACAAAATTTGGCAAAGTGTCTAAGCAAAAATAATATTTTATTTAATGCAAATTTTGTACTGCAATAATTTTTGTATGCTGTACTACTCGCTGTACTCTTTAGCTTTTCGCAGAGTACTAGAGAGAGTTAAATTCGATTTGCTTGCTTACTTTTTTGCGCTCAGAGCGTATCACTTTACTTTTGCTCTTTTTTCCAATTCTAAAACGTGCAGGGAACAAATCTAATTAGAATAAATACTCGCAGTAGAAAAACTTTGAAAAAGAAATTAATTTTCAGTATTAATTTAAACTTTTCATTCTTATTGCTTTAATAATTTGAGCATTCTTTGCTCGTTAACTAACTGCTTCTGAATTGTATCTACAAAATACATTTAATTAATCAATTAATTAATTAACAAATATATTTGCTTTCATTCATTACAGAAATGCTAATTGAGATAAGCATTGCACTTGACAGATTAAAATAAAAAATATGGCGAAATGTAAATGGATGAGTGCATGAAAGTAATAACTTGCAATTATTTGCGAGCAATGAATTGAACTGCGATGCGCCAATAAAAAGTCGAGACTGAAAGATTTACTTGACTTGCTAAGTTCAGAAAAGTAACGTCAAACAAGTCAGAATCAGCTTAATTTTTGATTTGATTTTTGATTGTGAGTGCAAAGGACTGATTTGCATTTCTACTTCTTCACAAACAAGTCTGCATGCATGCACAAATGTTAAGTGAATTATACCAAACTTTTTGTAGCGTTTTTCGAGGCAATTTTTTCAGTTGCAAACTTCTAATCCATTTGATTATTGATTGATAAAATTTGAAACGATCAAATATGTGCATATATGCTTGCGTAATGTATTAATTTAGCCACTAACTTGCTATATTTATATTTTTATTTTTATTCACTGACAAAATGGTTGCTTGGGAATATTGAAAAAGATGATGGGATACTTTAAGGGAACGGAACAGAGCACTAGAATTCTCTTTTGAATTGTCCGTAATTGAATGAATTGAGAAGTAAAGCTAGAGGTTATAGAAAGCTATTCAAGTGATTTAAATTGCTAAGGGAAAGAAAGACAAATCCTTCAACAAATGCAATCATTTTAAAACACAATCTGACCGTTGACCTCTGCCATGACTTTAAAAGTGTAACCTTCTGTTATAATCGAGAAGGAATTGACCAAAAAGTTTAAGTTTTTTCGAAAAATAATTCCGAAATTATTGCAAGCAAATACACTTATCGTTCAACTTCAAAGCATTTCAAAGTTTATTGCAAATTTTCCACTGAAAGTTAGCAATTTTTCGAAAATGTAAATGTTTAATTTGTATTTTTTAGGCAAACTATTTATAGACGAAATTCGCGCACAATTCGCAGATTAATCAGGTAATTACTGCTTTCAAAACCAATGGCTCATACTTATTTGCCAATAATTTAATGAATAATTATTTGTTCATAATCTTAGAAGGCTAAAAGTGTTCTTTGTTTTATCTAGATTAAAGAATACAAACTTAATGTTTGCATTAATTCAAATTATTCTAAGGTTATACGATTGGCAGATGGATGAGTACGGAAGCCTAAGGCCAGTGCTGCACTCAGCGAAAGGGATTGATCAAAATCCCGATCTTCTTATCAGTGAGCATAGAACGGGAAACAAGAAGGTCAAATGGCAACAAAACTGTGCCAATGATTCATTCATTCTTGAGACAATACTAAAAAAATACAATCGACACAAAGTCCCAGGCGATTCTGTTGTTGTGCAAGTTGAAGTTTGGGTTCAAGAAATTACAACAGTTAGCGATATCACTTCAGATTTTCAAGTACATTTTATTGATTCCATTATCAAAAAGATCTTTTCCAGTGACTATACTGATCAGTAATAATAAAATTTATCTCAGAATTATGCATATTACAATCGCAGCACTTTCTTAAACTTGTTTATTCTCAAAAATGTGCTTGAAATTTCACAGCTCACATTTTTGAAAATAATTATTCAAAAAACAACACTTTCCAAATTATTGTGATTGAAACAAAATGAATAGCTTTTCAAAATATTCAAAATTCTTTTATCATTTTTCATTTCAATTACTAATTTTATATTAGACAGTATTTTAATGCTTTTTTATCAAAAAAAAACAAAATTATTACTGCTGTTTTAGTTGGATATTTACATAAGCGAAATGTGGTTGGACCCAGCATTGGATTATTCGTGGATGCAACCTTGCAAGTACAATTTATCACTGAACAGTGTGCTGCTAGAAAAATTATGGACTCCGAATTCGTGCTTTATAAACTCAAAAACTGCAGATATCCATCGAAGTCCATTCCCAAATATCTTTCTGATGATTTATGCAAATGGTTCGGTATGGACTAATTACAGGCTTAAACTTCAAGGTTCATAAAATTCTTTTTTGAATCAAACATTTTAAATATGCGAGAATTTTGTTTATTATTTTGCCATGAACTATTATTGGCTAATAATTGCTGTCAGTAATTTAAACTGTTCAAAATTCGCTTAATCTGATATTCAGCGTCATGCGAGAGAAGCCTAGCATACTGTAGCTGAAAAATAGAAATAGAACTTTGCACATATTACTTTATTTATCTTTTCAGTAGCAGAAAGTTGACAAAAGCTATGAAAAATTCAAAAGTCTGTTTTTTGCATTCTTTTTTTCGTCGAAGTAGCAAAGATAGAAGGAATTTGAGGGCAATTTTGTGCTTTGATTACAGAATCCACTGATTTAATTTTCGTTTTACTTTCCATTCATTCATTTATTGATAAATGAATGCATTTATTTACTTCTTTACATAATTACTTATCCACTTAGAGGGCTTTCTTTGTAGATTTGCTCACAAATCAAATTACTCTTCTATAATACTCAGATTAATCATGAAAAGTTGTCATTATAAAGCATATTTTCTATTGTAATACAATTACATATGACTGCAATTATTAATCAATACGTGATAATATCGGATACGTATGATTCACTACGCAGATCAGCACAGATTACTTTTTATGACTGAATTGATTTGAAAAAGTGGTTTATTATTAGTTTAATTTTGATTGCTATATTTGAAATGAATTGCCAATGCTTTAATATATTTTAATGACTGTAATAATGTATATTACAGGCCCGTGTTCAATGGATTTGACGAGATTTCCCTTCGACAACGTCACTTGTTCGCTTACTTTCGAAAGTTTTAAGTCAGTCTTGCACTGAATATTTTTTTTGCAAAATTTTCCTTGTAGTATTTTTCTTAAACTTTAACCTTGACATGCAATGGCGCATTATGAGATGCTATTTCGTGTGCTTAACATAAGCAAAATAAGATACAATATTTGAATGTCGAAATGGACTTCAGACTTATCATTTAAATCCAAAATCAAGACTGAGATCAGAATAGCACTCCTTACTTGCACAGTTCATCTCACAATTTAACTCATAAAATTTGTGAGTTGTTCATTTCTTTTTTTCAAGTTTCAACCGTAGTATGTAGATGTAAAGTAAAGTTTGGACACGGACGTTTTCTTGCCTGTTCAAAGTTTAACTTTTTGGTCGTCACACTCTAAAAAGTGTTTTATTTTCAAATTATTTCAATAATTCTTAGCAAATCATTTTAGTTATAATACTGACGAGGTTCAAATGGTCTGGTCCCCACTTGGTGTTTCTAAAATGCGTGAAAAGATGGAACTTGCTGATTATGAACTCACTGGCATTGAAAATTTCAGGAAAACAGAGGTACCAACTTTTAGTTGTATGATCAAATTTCTTTATGCCATAAATGCTTACTTTATATTCATACATTCTGACTCCAAACAATTTTTATTCTTATTTTCTTCAATACACTAAAAATTATGCGTTGTTTTGCTGTTCGTCCATTTCATGATCTATTCCATCTTTGTTACTAATTATTCTTATGAATTTTCATGCAAATTTCTTTGCAAACTTGTTGGTGTAGTAGTGAATTATTGATAGTGAGATTTTTATTAAGCAATAAAATAATAATAAATTATTTTTACAAATTTTAGCATAAATAAACCATTTTGTAGCCTTATCCAGCTGGTTTCTGGCATGAATTAACTATGCAATTTCATTTCAAACGTCGTGCTGGATGGTATATTTTGCAGGCTTACCTTCCGACCTATCTTACTATATGCATATGTAAGTGTCTATAATTCTTACTTTCCCTTCATTTTCTTTACTGTATCCGTTTACATTGTTACTTTTATCCTACCATATTGTTTCTGTGAATAATTATTTGATATCACATGCAAACAAGCATCAGAAACGCATTTATCTGGCTCAGTTTGGTGATAATTCCTGATATAATACACTCAAAAATAATTTTCACAATAAATATCTTTTTTAACTGCGCAATCCCACGGTATATGGTGTAGTATTGAAGTGATTAAAGCAACAAATGTGAGTACAAGTTAATTTAATAAGAAAGAAAGTACTTTTAATATCAGTACTTTGAAGTGACTTTTGCTCATATATTACTATAAACTGAATTGCAATTACTGTACTTTAGCGTGGATCTCATTTGCACTTGGATCAAAAGCAATTCCAGCTCGAACCATGCTAGGCGTCAATTCACTTCTTGCTATGACTTTTCAGTTCGGTAATATAATCAGAAACCTCCCACGTGTTAGTTATGTTAAGGTGTGTTATTCTTGAGCAGTAGTTCTTTTTGGCTGTAAAGTATTTGGCAGTAGTTGCAAGATTTTATTGAAAAACACAAATTTTTGCTGTTAATTTTGTATCAAACTAATTAATACTTTTAGTTTAATTTAAAGACTAAATTTTGATTGCTTGGTGCTAAACAGTTTGATAATTATGATAACTTATCTAATTTTATTTAGTAATTATTAAAAGTTTTTAGGCCATAGACGTTTGGATGTTAAGTTGTATGACATTCGTTTTCTGTTCATTACTAGAGCTTGCGTGGGTTGGCTACTTCAGCAGGGAGGAATTCGATGTACCCAAGTCTGTAACATCTAAAATATCACCTAGTATAACAGCACATCAAGATAATGACAGTATGAAAATAGCACCGATTCCTACAGTGTCCCATCATGATCGGTATGAAACAAATTTCATACTAACCAGGTCATTTTGTTTATTACATTAGATTCATCATATTGCAATCACATTCTCTTCCCATTTTTCGCTCTAATTTGAATATCATTTTAAAAAAAAACTTGTCGCTAATTCTTGAAATGTCAGCGATCGCAAAATATTAGCATAAGTGGCAGTGTAGTACTTCTCATTGCGTTTGATGTGTTATTATTAAAAAATTAAAAGAAAAAATGTATACAATATATTTTAAAAAGAACACATGTTCAAAATATTATTATTAGATCATAAATTTGGTACTATTTAGCACTATTCACGTTTGGATGACTAATAAATGTAGATAGATTACAGAAGGCGACCAGTAAACGAAGAGGAAAATGCATTGATCAGTCTTGCTCGTGATAACGATTATGGTTATATTCCGCCTGGTTACGGTCTCAATGATCATCTCAAGGCTACAGTGGCTTCTATAGCAGGTCCTTGTGGTTGCTTACGGCAAGAAACAGCTGCTGTTACAGAATCGTACTCACCGATTCCTTCCTCAAGCGACCTCATCACTCTCAATCGACAAAGGGTCATTTCCTATTTCGATTATTATTCATATTATCAATTGCAAATAATATTTTTCTGCCATGAAAAATAATCTCAAATATACCCATAAAGAAAAAAAAGTTGTCTACAAGCACTCACTACCAATTTCATTCTATTCAAATATTTCAAGAAAGTGTATGTGTAAATTGCACTGCCATTATTTACGCTTATTATTTATGATTGAAATTTAAAATTTTGTTCTAAATATTCAATTTTTGGTTTCAGGAAAAAGTTACTTTGCAAATTGATAAGCTATCAGCGATATTATTTCCAACTTTATTTAGTGTATTTAATATTGCCTACTGGTATCATTACCTCAAGGACTGATCGATCTTCTCGATCATCAACGAAAATTTTCCACGAGAAAATCACTGATACTGAGTTATTGATTGATTTTATGAATCATTACGTATCATATTTCTGGCAAGAAAATGACACGTTTGTTGTATTGCTTCTTCTATGTTACAGAGATTTGGAGAGTAATTGGCCTTTCAAAGAAAACTAATAAGTTTTAAAAAGATGAAAGCGACGAGCAAAGCTTTTATTCTTGCCAGGAACTGACATGCAATACATTAATCACATTTTATTTGATAAATGACATTTGTTGCTCAATTACTTATAAAATAAAATTCAATTAGTTTTGTTGTTTGAAAGTTCAAATTTTAATTACTTAACCCAAAACACTCAGCGTGCGAGCAGAAGGCAACAGTGCAGTCAGTGAGAGTTCCCTCCACTGCACGTTCATAATACATCACTCAAACATTTCTCATAACTATCTAACACTTTTTTCAACCGCAAAAAATGTTGACTGATTTTGACACTAAAAACGTGATGCATCTCAGTTCTTTCACAAGATTTGACGGGAATGAAAGCTGACTTCGAGAAGTTTGACTCTTATGAATGATTTAGTGATAGCAATATGGAGATAAGGCAAGTATGATATAAGAATAATCGAAAATCATCAAAAACATGACAAAACTTGGGATTGGTTAGTTAGCAATGCAGTAAAATATTTACACAAATATATTCATACTAGAAAGTACTGAAAATAACTGATTTTATAGCTATACATATTTATATAGATGATAAATTGAAAATAATATGAAATTGAAGCTAAAGTTACTATGAAGAAAAGACGAGTGAGAAATATTTAGCAAAATTGATATTAGAAAATAAGTCTGAGCATTCGCAATTCTGACTACAGTTTTGGGCTAAGTAATTATGCTAATCAAAATAATTGAAGCATTGGGTAATGCATTTTCTATCTACTTCGAAAATGATCTTGCTAGACATATTCAAATTTTTGTGGCATTTACAATAATCGTCAACATTTAATCTGAAATGAGTTCTCGTGGTTTTGAACTGACTTTATCGTTTTTAGTATGCATTTGTATTTAAGATTAGAAATTAGTCCGTCTTTTACTAACAGTTTGTACGTCGCCAAAAGAAAGATAGTAAGAACTAACTTAGTTTCACGAAATTGATTGCAAAAGTTGTAGCAATGCTTTTAGAGGTTAGTGGTTCAGTCTAATTATATTAATTATTTAGCCTCAGAATTAGTTTGTAACTGAAAAGCAAAAAAGACTAATTTGGAAATTATGCAAAATCATTGAAATTAAAACTGAATTTTGATAGATATATTTTGTCACTTTCATTATCTTTCGCATATCATAAAGTTTTGTTAGAACAAATCACTTAGTACAAAAAGATAGTTTCCGTTCTCTGAAGTAATGTTAGATTTATTTTCAAAATTAAACCAATTGAGTGTTCAAGAAAAAGTTTCCTTGCAGTAATTTGGAGCATTTTTTTCCTCGTATATTTTTTATTCTACGATTCGCTTGAATTACAACTGCCCAGTCGTAACTTTTTGTAGTGAGTGTTGATATGTCATAATGTTGTGGCACTTTAAATACTTTACGAACACGCTTCAAACGTTTTGACGTTTCATCTGGTCGTGAAACATCTCTTAAAAATTTCATTGCACAACTGATTATGATATAATCTCTGTCAATTTTTTTAAGTCATTTATATTTGGAAAAGTTTTTAATATTTGCTTTTGAAAA